TTGGGTGGGTGGAACGATCCAATTTGCCTTTAAACGACCAATTTACCTGTTTACAACTTGCACCGATTTCATTCACTCAATCCTACCACGAACATTTATGACAACATATAATGATCATTTATGGTTCCAAACGGTGTTATATGACCCCAAGAATTATTACCTAGAATTTCAAGACTTTTCGAAGTCAGTCCCCAAAACCTCCAAATTTTCTAAAAAAACGTGGATATTAGCCTTCAATTTTGGAATTTTTTGACTTTTTTTTTGCCTGAAAATAAAAATTGCTGAAATTTTTACCATGGTTCCTAATACCATCTGGGAGTCTAATTGGTTGGGTGGAAACATCCAGTTTTCCTGTAAACGACCAATTTACCGGTTTACAACTTGCACCAATTTCATTAATTCAAGTCTACCACGAACATTTATGACAACATATAATGATCATATATGGTTCCAAACGACATTATATGACTCAGAGATGCATCCCCTAAAATCTCAAGACTTTTCGACACCGGGCCCCGAAACCCCCAAAATTTCTCAAAAAGCGTGGATATTAGCCTTCAATTTTGGAATTTTTTATACTTCTTTTCGCTAGAAAAAAAAATTGCCAAATAAAAATTGCTGAAATTTTTACCATGGTTCCTAATAACCTCTACGAGTCCAATAGGGTGGGTGGAACCATCCAATTTGTCTTTAAACGACCAATTTACCGATTTATAACTTGCACCGATTTCATTAATTCAAGCCTACAACAAACACTTATGACAAGATATAATGATCATATATGGTTCCAAACGGCATTATATGAACTCGAGATGTGTCTCCTAAATTCTCAAGACTTTTCAACACCGGGCCCTGAACCTCCAAAATGTCTCAAGAATCATGAATATTAGCCTTCAACTTCGGAATTTATTTACTTTTTTACGCCAGGAAATAAAAATTGCCGAAATGCTTACCATGGTCCCTAATACCCTCTGAGACCCCAATTAGGTGGGCGGAACGATCCAATTTGCCTTTAACGGCCAATTTACCTGTTTACAACTTGCACCAATTTCATTAACTCAATCCTACCACGAACATTTATGACAACATATAATGATCATTTATGGTTCCAAACAGCGTTATATGACCCTAAGATGAATTCCTTAGAATTTCAATACTTTTCGAACTCAGGCCCCAAAACCTCCAAAATTTCTAAAAAAACGCGGATATTAGCCTTCAATTTTGGAATTTTTTGACTTTTTTTTGCCAGAAAATAAAAATTGTTGAAATATTTACCATGGTACCTATTACCCTCTGGCAGTCTAATTGGTTGGGTGGAAACATCCAGTTTGCCTTTAAACGACCAATGTACCGGTTTACAACTTGCACCAATTTCATTAATTCAAGCCTACCACGAACATTTATGACAAAATATAATGATCATATATGGTTCTAAGCGGCATTACATGACTCCGAGATGCATCCCCTAAAATCTCAAGCCTTTTCGACACCGGGCCCCGAAAACCTCCAAAATTTCTCAAAAAGTGTGGATATTAGCCTTCAATTTTGGAATTTTTTATACTTCTTTTCGGCCGAAAAAATAAATTTGCCGAAATTTTTACCATGGTCCCTAATAACCTCAGCGAGTCTAATTGGGTGGGAGGAACCATCCAATTTGCCTATAAACGGCTAATTAACCGATTTATAACTTGCATCGATTTCATTAATTCAAGCCTACCACGAACACTTATGACAAGATATAATGATCATATATGGTTCCAAGCGGAATTATATGAACTCGAGATGTATCTCCTAAATTCTCAAGCCTTTTCAACACCGGGCCCTGAAACCTCTAAAATGTCTCAAGAAGCATGGATCTAAACCTTCAATTTCGGAATTTTTTTTTACATTTTTTTACATTTTTTCGCCTGGAAATAAAAATTTCCGAAATGCTTACCATGCTCCCTAATACCCTCTGAGACCCCAATTAGGTGGGTGGAACGATCCAATTTGCCTTTAACGGCCAATTTACCTGTTTACAACTTGCACCAATTTCATTAACTCAATCCTATCACGAACATTTATGACAACATATAATGATCATTTATGGTTCCAAACAGCGTTATATGACCCTAAGATGAATTCCTTAGAATTTCAATACTTTTCGAACTCAGGCCCCAAAACCTCCAAAATTTCTAAAAAAACGCGGATATTAGCCTTCAATTTTGGAATTTTTTGACTTTTTTTTGCCTGAAAATAAAAATTGCTGAAATGTTTACCATGGTACCTATTACCCTCTGGGAGTCTAATAGGTTGGGTGGAAACATCCAGTTTGCCTTTAAACGACCAAAGTACCGGTTTACAACTTGCACCGATTTCATTAATTCAAGCCTACCACGAACATTTATGACAACATATAATGATCATATATGGTTCCAAACGAAATTATATGACTCCGAGATGCATCCCCTAAAATCTCAAGCCTTTTCGACACCGGGCCCCGAAACCTCCAAAATTTCTCAAAAAGTGTGGATATTAAATTAGCCTTTAATTTTGGAATTTTTTTGACTTCTTTTCGCCCGAAAAAAAAATTTGCCGAAATGTTTACCATGGTCCCTAATAACCTCTGCGAGTCCAATAGGGTGGGTGGAACCATCCAATTTGCCTATAAACGGCCAATTTACCGATTTACAACTTGCACTGATTTCATTAATTCAAGCCTACAATAAACACTTATGACAAGATATAATGATCATATATGGTTCCAAACGACATTATATGAACTCGAGATGTGTCTCCTAAATTCTCAAGACTTTACAACACCGGGCCCTGAAACCTCCAAAATGTCTCAAGAAGCATGAATATTAGACTTCAATTTCGGAATTTATTTACTTTTTTTCGCCAGGAAATAAAAATTGCCGAAATGATTACCATGGTCCCTAATACCCTCTGAGACTCCAATTAGGTGGGTGGAACAATTCAATTTGCCTTTAAACGGCCAATTTACCTGTTTACAACTTGCACTGATTTCATTAACTCGATTCTACCACGAACATTTATGACAACATATAATGATCATTTATGGTTCCAAACGACGTTAGATAACCCCAAGATATATTCCCTAGAATTTCAAGACTTTTCGAAGTCAGGCCCCAAAACCTCCAAAATTTCTAAAAAAGCGTGGATATTAGCCTTTAATTTTGGAATTTTTTGACTTTTTTTCGCCTAGAAATAAAAATTGCCGAAATGTTTACCATGGTCCCTAATACCCTCTGGGAGTCCAATTGGGTGTGTGGAACCATTCAATTTGCTTTTAAACGGCCAACAACTTGCACTGATTTATTGGTTTACAACGACCAATTTAATTAACTTGCATCGAACCCGACTTGAACCGAAAGTGACCAAAACCCGTTTTAACCCGTCAAAACCCGAATTTAACCCGACTTGTTACTAACCTGACCTGAATTCAACTCGACCCTAATTTAACCAAACTTGTTACAAACCGACCTAAAATTAACCCAACATGTTATTAACCTGACCCAAATTCAACCCGGCTTGTTATTGACCCGAACCGAATTTTACCATACCTATTACTTACCCAACCCAAAAATTCAACTCGATCTATTACTAACCCGACTCGAAATTAACACGATTTGTTATTGACCCGACCTAAATTCAACCCAAATTGTTCTTGACCCGATTTCAAATCACCTTAAATGCAATTTTAGGTCACCTTATTATTGTTGATCAAAGCATTTTGTCTTGGGAGACCAAGTCGGTCCAGGCCCAAAAGAAAGGTGCATCATCCTCAAATTTAAGAGCGAAATATAGTATATATTTGTTGTATGGTCAAAGGAGATAATTATCTTTCTAAATTATAGACTATAGTTTTCTAGTATATTGCCATATATATTATAGTCAAACGAAATAATTAGCTTGATAAAAATGATAATTATCTATTCATAGTTAGTTGAACCCGAATGTGACCTGACTTGGAAATGACCCGACCTGATTGTAACCTGTAAATTATTGACTTGAACATAACCCGACTTGAATTCAAGAATGACCTGACCTGGAAATGACCCAACCTGATTATAACCCGCAAATTATTGACTTGAACCGAACTCGACTTGAACCCGAGAATAACCCCACTTGAAAATGACCCAACCTGATTATAATCCGCAAATTATTGACTTGAACCGAACTCGACTCAAACTCGAGAATGACCCGACCTGATTCTAACCCGCAAATTATTGACTTGAACCAAACCCGACTCGAACCCGAGAATTACCCTAACCCGTTTTAACCCGTGAAAACCCGACCTATTTACACCCGACCCGAATGTAACCCGACCTGGTATTAACTCGACCTAAACCCGACCAAACCTGATAAGAAGTATGACCTAACGTGACCCGACTCAAGCATGACCTAACCCAAACCCGACCGCATAGGTTATGGAATTAATTTGAATTGACCCGACCCGCATAGGTTATTGAATTAATCTGAAGGAAGGGGTTAATAACTTAATACTCTAGTTTAATATCCACTGCAAATTCCGGCTTGAGCTTGAACAAAACCGGCCGGGTTGGTCCAACCTGCTAGATACAGTCCGGTCTAAATAAGTTGCCATCCAAGTTTCTGATTCAAATTCGACTGTGTTTGATTCATGTTTGATACAGTGAAAACTATCAATAATTCCTCTAGAAGTGTGGTGACTGGTGAGTGTTGATACTTAACTACTGTAAGATTAATCGGCTAAATTTTTTTTGACCAAAAGCATAGGAATCACTAATAATTCAACACCAACTTGTCCAAAAGTAGTATCATATTCAAAACCAAGATCTTCCTTCAAAAACTGAGAGGATAACTACTGCAAAGACATAAACTACTCATAATAAACTAAACTTACAAGCATAAGAGAGGATATCATGAACAAAGACAAAACATAATTTTCCACTATCACTCTTACAAAAGGCAAGTTCAGTTGCAAGTTATCAGTTTGGATGACGAAACCGGAGTCATTTACAAAATTACAATCCATACTCAAGGATACATCCAAAAGACCTACTGTGTACTTCTTTAGTTCTTTGTAATCCCATAGAAATCAATGATCCCACAAAAGTAGTAATTGATCCACAATGAATATAACCACCAACTGATGATTAATTTCACCAAAAATACAGTCTGACTCGAAATGTAAAATGAAAAGTCCTAGAAACTCAAAGTCAAATTAACTTCACCACCATCACCACTGTCCACTGCTACCATCACTATCACCACCATATTCTTCATCCTCTTCCTCATCAATACCATCATCATTATCATCATCATCACTATCACCTCCATCCTCTTCGTCTTCTTCCTCATCAACACCATCATCACTATCACCACCATCCTCTTCGTCTTCTTTCTCATCAACACCATCATCATTATCATCATCACTATCACCGCCATCTTCTTCGTACTCTTCCTCTTCCTCATCAACACCATCATCATTATCATCACCATCACCACCATCTTCTTCGTCCTCTTCCTCATCAACACCTTCACCATTATTACCACCATCATCTTCTTCGTCCTCTTCCTCATCATCACCATCATTATCTTCATCTTCACCATTAAAAGGAAAAGGAGAAAAGGGGGAAACACTACTCTCTACATAATCGTTGATCTTGTAAACCTTAGAACAAGAATTCCTCACAACAACATATGATGGCAGATCACAATGTGGGTCAACAACCACAAATCCATGATTCGCAGCTTGAATGCAGATAATGCCATTGTATGTGAACCCTAATACTCGGATGCAACGTCCAGCAATCTCCTCTTGCAAGTCAATCCTATACATTATCTTCCAAGAACCCCAATTGTTATATTCCTTCAACATCCACAGCTCTAACATCCATTTCCCTTCCTCAATTTCAACCTCGGTATCTGAGTCTGAGGTTTCTTCAGAATCTTCCTCTGAGTCTTCCTCAGAGCCTTCCTGAAATTCATCATAAGAATAATGTACAAACGCTACAAAAAGACGATCAGATTCTCGATTGACACCCAGCAGCATCTGATTGACACTCGGAAATAGCTTAGGCACAATTGTGAAAGGTATCCTCTCAAAGGCTTCAGTAGCCAGATCAAATTTCAGTATGCATTTTTCTTGAACAAGGTAATGCAATGCATCATCCTTGAATACTGAGTTACATCCCGAAATGGAAGACAGATCATCATCACTAACACGTATCCTTCTCCAACTATCATTCCTCAACGAGTACAAATACATGTACTTTTCACGGTATGGCTTATACTTTTCAGAAACTAAGAGGATCTTGTAGTCATTTAAGGAGTGAACGAAGCCAAACCAGCAAGAATCTACATAAACATAAGTCGAAATCCCTCCAACTGGCAATGAAATTTCTCTAGCTTCATTGGTGATAGGGTTCCAAAGATACATAAAATCCCCGTCATATATTTTCTTATCCATCGCCTTAATGTAAAGACACACAAGGCCATTACATGATCCAATCATGAAAAAGTAACAACCCTCGAAAGTGTCATCCCTGTCGAATTGTCTTCCCCATGGCTTTAACTTTACGCCCTCAGTGATATCAGCATAACTACTAAACTTGAGCGAAGACAAGGTATTATCTCTAAGCATAGCAATGGTTAAGGGTGTATTAGGGGGCGAGTACGAACATTTGATATGAGATATGGCGAATGCGGGGTCTGAGATTAGGGATTTCAATTTTTTGCACACACAACTGACCCTTCCTAAGGATTTTGCAGGCATTCGAAGCAGGATTTCACGAATTAAATCATCTGTTAACCCCAAAAATAGGGATTTTTCATATTTGGCGTGTTTCATAGTAGATTAAGGCTTGGCAGTCCTCTGAAAATAAATTCACAAAATCCAACAGTCAAAAACAACAATTTTACACAATTACACACTACAATTTCACAACTTCCCACTAAAACTTCACAAGTAACAACAATTTCCCACAAAAAAAACCACAACAATTTGCCAAAAAAAGTTCAATTTTTATTTTTTAAACTACATAATTGTGATTGAAATGTAATCAGATACTCAAATGAAGAATTATGAACACAAACTAAAAAAAAAATATGGGGGTAAATTGATGAATAAAATGGGAAAACTTAAATATCAAAGATTATACCTTTAGGAATGCTGAACTGCTAAGAAAGGAGATTGATGACGGCGAGTCGGCGATGGCTTCTTGATAAATCGGCGGAGTAGTTTTAAGGGTGAAAGAGGAGAGATTTTTTTAAAAAAAACCTTACCAGTTACCACTACCTTGTTTATTTGAAAAAAAAAAAAAAAAAAAAAAAAATTCACTTAGTTTTTTTTAAAAAATTTATTATTGCGACTTTTAATTTCCCAAGAAGATTTTTATAAAGGAAAAAAATTATAAATACTCATATAGAAAATAAAATTACGAAGCTCTCCTTTCACTTAGGAGTAAACTAGCATAGTGTCCGTGCGATGCACGATTTATAAATCAACTTATTGATTTTTTGAATAAGGTATTATTAATCCCGTAGGGAAAAAAAACTAACATAATTCAATTAGTAATAAAGGGTTCATTTTTACTAACAAATTAATTTTGTCATATAGATTTATTTTATTTCCTTTTTTTATATAATGTTATTTGTTTATTTGAAAAATAAATGAATAATACTCACATAATTATAAGAGATATAAACTAAATCTTTCCTACCTCCCATAGATATAAACTAAAATTTTCTTAACATAAGCAGCTATACAATCGAATATTTGTTTTACTCGTTGTATTCACCGAATTTTAGACACAATAATAACTTACCTTATATTTGACCCATCACTATATACATTTTTCCTAAGCAAATCATTGTGTCAAAAACAATTACGGAGTACATAATATTCATACAACCAATCAATAACTGATAGAATATACAACACAAATATATAGATATGATTTGGTAAATTTTTATACGAATGAAAGATATTTATTAATATTTTTAAGAATAAAAGACAAATTTCATCAACTACCCAATCATGTATGTAAATATATTTTTTTTATGGATATGTATTCTTATACTATAATTATTAAATTTTGAATATTAGCATTAAATTAGTAAGGAAATATGAAAAATTAATGGTTATAGAAAAATAATATTTTAAAAGTGTGCGAAATCTTTAATTATTATATATGCGTAAATTTTTGGCAAAATAGTTGTTAGGAAAATATTGTTTAACTCTTTTGTAAGAAAAAGTTACATTAGATATATATTTTTAATCTAAGTTAATTTAATTTCAATAAATTGTATTCCCCTCAAAAAAAAATTTCAATAAATTGTATATTAACAATTCATAGACTCTACATTAATCTAAAATTAAATTATTAGATATATTTTTTTTAATCAAAGTTAAATTAATTTATTCACCATGATTCTTTAAGAGGGGTATGGTCAAACATCATAGTGAATGTCATATTGAAGAACAATATATTAATCTTTCCATAATATGGCCTTGAAATGAAAAATGTAAAGACATATATGTTATGACTATGGCTATTATTTTATATAGATGATAATACAAAAAAAAAAAAAATTGTATCTTATTTTATTATTTGAATACTATGATTTGAATTGAATATTTTAAGAATATTTTATTATTATTATTAATGTATTTTTTGAATATTGTATTTTTACCTTATCATGCTACCATTATATTTGTAGACTTTTTAATTTATTTGAGAAATAATATTTCTAGACTTTACTATAAAAGATGTTCTTACCATTATGCTCGTATTATGTAATATGAAATACTTGTATAATTCTTTTCTTTGTTCATTATGTCACAATAATATTGCTAGACTTTACTATAATAGATGCTCTGACCATTTTCACGACCATCTATTATAGTAACTGATTACATTATGACTAATGAGCAAAGAAATATCACTCTATGCTAGTATGCTATTGATAAAGGCAATTCCCAAAAATAATCCTAACACTATTTTAGAAATAATATTGCTAGACTTTATTATAATAGTTTATGTAGTTATTTAGAATTTTTTTTATATGGAAACATAAATGTATAAATTAAAAAAGACTGCGAATCATAAAGAGGCATTTGTCAGTCTCACATTGAGGCGCTTGTCTTTTAGTATAGTATAATCCTGGTCTCTATTTTTTTTTTTCTCCCAATTACAAAAACTTTAGGTTATATAAAAACTTTTTTTTTTCTTTACACAAACCGCAAGCTTAGCCATTTATTAAAACATTAAGTTAGCAAGATCATTACAAAGAGGTTCCTGTTATTTTAAGAGGGTACTCCTCTAACTTAAATACGACATTCATTGAATTTGCTACTAGGTTTCGCTAAACTGTGAGCCACTACAATGCCCGATCGTTTGATGAAGGAGAACGATAACGATCTGGAATCACTAGTGAGCCTTAACTATTAAAAATTAGGTTAAACTATAAAACTTCAAAGTAGCGTGCTAAAAGATATTTGGTGTTAATTATTGTACTAAAAAAAAATTACTCTATAGGCACTATAGCATTTAATTTACCTCTAATAAATTATGAAATTATTTTCACACATTAGAAAATTATTGTATCCTATAGGTTATAGGGGAATTACTTCGTACCCAGTATTTTTTTTACTTGCACATTACTAGCTCTATGGTCCTAGAGTTCCATTTTGTCAAAAAGAAATGTAAGTTTTAGCAAATTAAACCAAATTTCAGTAAATCACAATTAATGGTCATTCTGAATTTGTATCTAGTTTTTCCATAATAATAATAATAAATAAAAAAAAAAAATTGTTTCTAGTTTCAATGGAGTTTAGCTTAAATTGGGATAAACTTGAATTATGACATATTTAGAAAGAACACAAGTATATCCTATCAAACAATTGGGTGTATTACAAACAAGAAACAACAACTTACACACTTCTAAGATCCAACTCTACAAAGGCTACTACATACCAACATCATTACGATCGATATTTCTAACAAAACAAAACAAATGAAAAAAATTACTCAAAAAAACCTAAAACTCTCCCTTTCTAATTTTAATCCAACCAAGTATTGCTGAATTTCTTGGGATGTCGAAAATAGGCAGAGTACTTGCACACAACCTAAGCTGTCACACCTCTTGTCTTGGCTCAATGTTGGGTCGAATAAGACTTTGAACATAATTCACCACTTCACTTAACCTCTCACAACGATGAAATTGCACAAAATTTGGCGGATCACTTCTCGTGTCAACCAGCACTAGATCATTCTCCACGACAATCATAACCTTCCCGGACTCCGTTCGTTGGAATATACCGTGACAAATACCTCCTAAGCTCAATTTCAACAAGCACGTCCACGACTTCGTTACACCGTACTCTTTCATCACCCACATTTTAATCAAATGTCCATCATATTCCCCCCAAGCACACAAGCAACCATCCATGTTGCACAACTTGATCACGCGATCGTCCCCTAACTCGGTTTTTGGCGCCAAATCCATCAATTTAAACGCATCATCCGTATTATTAGCCAAATTGAATGCACCAATGTATTTCGCTAACTTCCCTAGAGTAAAAACCCAATGCAATGTTTCATTCACCAATACTCCTATACAATTATACCAACATTCTTGACAAGACAAGGACGATAGATGTCTCATGAAAATTCGCGGTGTCTGCCATTGTCTATACCTTAATGAGTACACATACACGACTATCCCGGGACGTCGAGGACTAATTGACAAAGATATGGCAACAATGCTGTAATCCTTAGTCGACGACACGTAGCCAAACCCGAAACTGAACTGATTTTCACCACGATTACTAACAATGATTCGATCATTTTGGATACTCACAAAATTATTATCACCAACACCAAGACATGGGTTGTAAACAATATAGTCAAAATCATTATTATGTCGATCATTTACCAATACAAGAGAAGAAATCAAGAGTACTAAACCATTACAAGAAGCAATCAAACGAGTGTTTATCTTGTTCTCATGATTACCCTCAAATTTACGACTGAAATAATCAAGATTCTTGTCAAATGCTTCGTAATTAATAGATTCAAATATACCTTCATAGTTAAGAGTAAGAATGGAGTTTGAAGAGAAATGAGAAGAGCGCTGAAGTTGGGTTTCGGCGAAGTGGGAAGATGAGATTAAAGAAAACCATTGCTTCGAGACACATTTGCATATCATAAGAGTTTTGATGGGGAGTCTTGAGAGGATTGTAATGGAGATAAGGTCGTTAGGAAGCTTTTCCATCTGAGTTTAGTTTTCGGGTTTTGCGGTGGTGGTTTTGGAGGAGAGAAGGCGGGGAAGAGAGAGTAAATGGGTTGTTTTTAGTGGTTCTTGGGTGGTCAGAAAAACAGGGGAGTGTGTTTTTAGTTTGTAGTAATGAGAGTTTGATGATGAATGATGATTTTCAAGAGTATTTATAACGAAAATTGTACACCGAGTAAAATGATTTTAAATAAATAAATTTAAAAAAAAAAAAAAAAAGTACAAGGCTTGGATTGGCCCAAATGAATAGACCATATGGGTCGTTGATAATTGGAGCCCACTAACGAAATTCAGTTAAATGCCACTAACGAAATTCAGTTAAATATAATTTTTGTAAAGGTTTTTTATTTTATTTTGATTTATTTTTTGGCTCATGTAAGTAGTAATATTGACAAAAATAATGTGTGTTTGTATGATAAAATGGAATTGAAGAAAGAAATGAAGGAAAGTAAGACATATATGCTTTAACAAATGTTGTAATTATTTGGGGAAAAAAAAAAGAAATGTGATAAGAGTTGTTGATTGGGGAAGAAGAAATTAAGTGGTAATGAGAGTTATTAACTCTCATTACCACTTGCACTAATGTTATAATTCTCATTAGTGCTTTATAACTCTCATTACCACTTGCACTAGTAATTTTTTCACTTTAACAAATTTTATTAGTGCAAGTGGTAATGAGAGTTATAAAGCACTAATGATACAATCATACAAACATGGTATGGTAACCATAGTGGAGTGGCCTTGTTAGACTCCGTATTACTAAAGTACATAAATACCCCTATACCCTTCTCTACTATAAATTAATTAAGACATTTTTGAAAAGATTAAGTAGTTTTTCTTGAAATCTAACTTATCATCAAATAAAAGAAAGTAAGACGCTTTTTCTATCCCACTTTACATTTTTTTGTCAATTTTTTATTTTTATAAAGGTAAGAAATAAGAGGACATTAGGAGACCCTCCTCACAAGGGGAACTCCTAATACATCACTGGAGAGAATAGTAGAAAGAGTAGAGTTATTACAAAGAGTAATGTCCATACTATCACTAACTAGATGACTGACATTAGTTATCCAATCAGCTGCCCAATTTGTCTCTCGAAAAATATGTCGTATGCTCCAACTTTCAATATTGGTGAGAAGAGTGCAAATGTCTTTAATGATGAGTTAAATCTGCCAGGGAGTTGACCAAGTGCCCTTGAGAGAGTTGATGACTAGGAGATCATCGCCCTCGATTTGAATATTTTTTATCAAGCTCAAGGGCCAAAAGAATACCTTTGTGAAGAGTTGTCGCTTGAGCAATGAAGACTTTGGTGCTGCCAAAATGGAAGGTATGTGCTCCTGAAGAAATCCCGTTGTTGTCTCTGATGATGATTCCTACTGCTGCTGAGTTGTTGAGAACCGAACCGTCAAAGTTGAATTTGTGGAAATCGAGGGGTGGTGCTTTCCAAGAAACCAAGATGGAATTAGGTGGAGGAGGATGGGAAGGGGGGGGGGACCTCTGGATAGGAGACCCTAAGGAGAAAAAGGTATTTGTGATAGTTCTATAATGCCACTCGGTGAACGCAATATGAGCTCGGTGTTAGATTCTGGGTATATCAAAGGAGTCTTGCCTGAAGATAATGGACTTTCGTTCCTTCCAAATACTCCAAATGAGGAATATAAATTTCTTTGTAGTTATTTTGTATTGTTTAAAAACATAAATGCCTCTATTAAATCATTGCAGGGAATAGTACAACCTAGCCATTGTCTAACCAAAGAATGATTCCAAACATCTTTAATGCGATAGCAGGTAAGGAAGAGATGGTTTATTTATAGAGTATTAATTGTGCACAACTTAAAAGGTAAAATACTTAACAAAAATTAGGAATCGTCTTTGTCAAGTATTCCTTCCGTCCCCAAAAGAGTCGACGACTCTTTTGGGTTGATTTCGCGGGTACTAAAATAAGATAGTATTTCTTCTGTCCTCAAAACTTCGACCTTTTTAACCTAATTTTAGTCCCAAAATAATGGACCCATTTGCATTGAAATACCCACTAGTTTACAACAATATTTGTTCAAAATTAACTTCTCCATATATTATTATTTATGTATTTTTATTACTTATCTCTCTACTTTTTTACAAACCCCATGTAAATTTATATTTCCAATTATATTGAATTTCACACGGGGCTTGTAAAAAGGTAGAAAGAGATAGTAATAAAAGTTTATGGAAAAACAAAATTTACATGGAAAAACTAACTTTGCACGAGTATTATAAACTAATGCATGGGAAAGTGTGTATTATAATTAGTTTAAGAAGTAAGAAGTACAGAGTTCAATAGTAAAACCATATACACTAACAGTACTCAGTTTCATCTCGTACGAGTGGCTACGAATAATCTCAGTACATTAAATTGTTCAAGTTTTAAATAAATATAGAATTATTTGGACGATTTACGAAAATATTGTTAAATTGAAACTTGTTTACCATTGCGTCAGTACTAAACTTATTTACCAAAATGCTATCCACGTAGGATTAGGAATACGTTTGGGTCTATTTAATTTTAAAAATAACAAACCGCTACTTGAGGTAGCGGTTTTAATAGCTAAACCGTTATTCAAAGTAGCGGTTTTAATAAATATTTTACACAACTACATTAAAATTAAAACAAAAAAAGAACAGAAGACCACTACCCACATCACGCACCTCGACATCATCACTGGACCACCTCTCCATCCCCACGAGACCACCACCCACATCACGTCGCCGTCGTCATCTCCATCCTTCTACACACCAGAGGACGAACCAATTCACGTCGCCACCACCAATTGATGAATAAATTGGTTTTCTGATATTTACCCCCAAATTCATAAGGTATTTAGCCCTAATTTTTTTTTCTCATTAATTCATTAGTTGTTAAATTAAATTTTGTTGTTGTTTGGTTTGAAATTCACTTCGCCACCACCACTTAATGTCAAAATCAATACAATAAACTCATTTTGGTATGGAAATTCGGTGCTATAGTTTCGTATTCCTGATTGTTAGGTTTTGCTTTGGTTGCTTTTGTTTTTCTTGGATTTTGCTTTAACTACATGCCAATTTAGCTATTCTCATGCTTGGAAGATATAATTAATCAACATGGCATCCTTTTCTTATTATTAAAAGTGTTGGATATGTACTTACTAATTTATATAAAATACTACAATTTCCATATTGTACTGTATATTGGATGAATGGTGCTTTAGTTTTCAAACTCAATTTATAAATTGTGAAGTTAATTCCAAAATATAATCAATTACATGGTGCTCTAATTTGGCATTTTGTTACAATAGTGCTATAAATTGACAATCTATTTTAATAGTGGTTTCACTTGGGATTATAATACAATTTGGAGCTCTTTATTTTGATGTTATTATAGTGCTCTAACTTGACACATTGTGCTTAAATAATTATTTATAGTGTAATGTAGAATAAAATGAATGTGATTATTTTGATTTTTTTTAATGGTAAGGTTTTGTTTAGAAATGGAAGAACCTATTGTATGTTATTGGGGCGGAGAAGTTACAAAAAGTAATGGAAATGTCACGTATAAAGGTGGTGAGAAGAAATTTTTTTTTCTCAAATCTTCCATGAATTTCTCAATGTTTTTGAACAAGCTATATAAACTTGTGAAATGTGATCCAAAGAATGTAGAATTAAAGGTGCAGATGAAATATCCTACTTCTGGTTCATATACACTTCTTCCCCTTGATGACGACATTTCTTTAAGAGCCATGTGGGTTGGTATATCAAAGTTGTCGGGTTCCACTATGGAGTTATGCATTGACCAAGTTGTCAAGCAGGTAGTAATGGAGACTAGCTTGGGGTTATATCCTAGCTCCAATTCTAGTATGCCTCTCCAAATGACTGGAACAAGTTCAGAGGTAGCAGTCTCTTTCACAAGATTGCTGACTGATGATCTTTATGTTCAACAACATATTTCGGAGCTAACTTCTCCCACACCAACTCCTCACACAGGAACGTCCTCCAGAAATACCTCTCTAGATGCACTCGATTACATTAATCTTGAACAAGTTGATGGCTTTGGAACCATAGTAGATAATTTGGATAGTGATGAAGGTGATGAAGAAGGTGCATGTGAGGAAAATGACATTGTCATAAAAACAAATGCTCCTTCACAATCTTTTAATGTCATAGAAGAAATGGATCAAACACTTCGTGACTCATGGATAACATGGCTAGGAAACAACACTTATAATGGTGAATTCAGTGTTGGTCAGGAGTTTGACTCCTTACATCAACTGAAAGATATAGTAAAATCATACTCCATCACTAAAAATCAATCATTTCGAGTTGTTGAGTCCGAGCCATCAAAGTATGTTGTGGAGTGTAAAAGGAAAAAGACACACAATTGTCCTTGGAAGCTGCGTGCAATTAAGGATCCAATGTTACCTGTTTTTCGAGTTGTGAAGTATAATGGTCCGCATGCAAATAATTGTGTAGGTGACATTATCTCCGGTGATCATCAAAATCTCACTTCTGAATTTGTGTGCAATATCATCTTAGATCTTGTACGAGTTGATCCTTCTCTTAAAGTACGTGCTATTGTATAAGTTATTAAGGATCGAACCAAATTCTCTATAACTTACAGGAAGGCGTAGCTAGCAAAACAAAAGGCAATTGCCATTATATTTGGTGATTGGGAGAAATCGTATGAAGAGTTGCCTAGGTACATGCAAGCTTTACAAGAAGCCAATGAGGGAACTGTTGTTCATTGGAGCACAATAGAGACATCTAATCCGTCTATTCATGTGTTCAAAAGAGTTTTTTGGGATTTTAAGCCGTCTATTGATTGATTTCGGCACTGTAGACCTCTAATCACTATTGATGGGACTCACTTATATGGGAGGTACAAGGGCACCTTGCTCATAGCAATGACAACTGATGCAAACTTTCAGCTTTTCCCTCTTGCCTTTGCGATTGTAGAAAATGAGTCTATCGAAACTTGGTCATGGTTCATGGCATGTCTTAGGCAATCAGTCACTCAAAGAAGAGGTTTATGTCTCATTTCTGATCGACATGCGGGATATTAGATGCAATGAATAAGGAGGGGAGTGGATGGAAGGAGCCTTTTGCACATCATAGGTTTTGCATTCGACATCTTGCATCTAACGTGGGAAAACATTTAATGGATGCATTCCTGTTGCATGCGGTGAATGTGGTTTTTTTTTTTTTTTATGGTAATAACTTAGTCATCATAATGTAGATGACATGGCAACCATATACCGAGGAGGTTCTTGCATCCTTGCCTGAGATATGTCGATCCGATCATAATGTGATGCACACTTTTGCGCCATTGATTTGCTTTGATATTGTGGAGTACCATATGCCAGTACGAGTTATGCGACAGTTTGGTTTGGAGCAAACGATCCCTACAACTCTTGACACAAGTGATAAGTTGCATAAGGTGGATAAACGTAAGCGCAACAAAAACTATGACATTGTGCATGAAAAGTATATAGAAGAATGGCAGAAGCGTAAGGATAGAGTAGTTTCTGGTCATCCATTTAGTGGTCGCACATTGTTACAGTACATGAATTGGTATCGGCGCATCACTAGGACCATCATCACTCCCCCTACACAAATCCGCCCTTCTACTCATTACCAACCTGCCTCGACTGAGTTGGTGTTGGTAAGATTGACCAAGTTTCTAATTTTTCTTTTAGCATGTTAAATGTTGTAAACTTTAAGTTTCTAATTTTTCTTTTAACATGTTAAATGTTGTAAACTTTTCTAATTTTTGTTGTTGCTCTTTTTTTCTCTTTTCTTTCTTTCTTTTTTACAGTCACATGCATTAGGTGATATAGCCCAAAGGTGCATGCGAATTATTGAGGCTGTTGGTGATTTGCCTATGGAGAAAGCATTACCGTTGACTTTAGAATCGTTTCGCACTATAAATGCATATTGTGCTGACACATTAACAAGGGTCGATCAACCTCACCTCCTCCAAGATAGTGAAGTTCTTCAGTCACCCTCGGCCTCCACACCATCTAGCTCCTCCTTGCAAAGTGTGTTGCACTCTCAAGCACCCCGCAAACGAAAACATAGGGATCTTCGTGGTCGAGGACGTGGACCTTCTTGTCAACTGAGCACAAGTTTTTCACCTTCAGTTTCTTCTCCTGCTTTGACTACTACACCTATGCTCTCACCTAGTACTTTGACTACATCTACACCTCTGCCCTCTTTTACTCCTCGACCCTCTTTGCTTGCAACCTCTAGTTCACCCTCGTTCACATCCATGTTGCCACATAATTATTCTGGTATTTCTACTCATCAAGTAGCCTCTTCTACAGTTGTATCTCCACCACTAGTTTATGCTCGACGAACCACTTTTACTACGTCACCCATTTTGGAAGTGGATGAGTCAAATTTTGAAACACCATGACCATTACATCGTAAAAAACACCATTAGAGTAGGAGATGTAAATTATTTTGCTTCATCAGAACTCATTTTGGTATATTTGTAATACTTGCTTTAATTAATTCAATGTTATTATAAATATTTTGGTTTGTTTGTGGACATTTGTTATTGGTTGGAATTGTTTTAAATAGGTTAATTGTATAAGTTGTGTGGATGTACATGACATGATATTGTTACAGGTTGCACAAATGAGGGGATGATGCCTACAGGTTTATCAACTTTTCGATTATAATTTTCAGCTTAAAACCGCTACCTCAAGTAGCGGTTTATGTACTAAAACCGCTACTTGAAGTAGCGGTTTATATACCAAAACCACTACCTCAAGTAGCGGTTTATGTACAAAAACCGCTACTTGAAGTAGCGGTTTATATACTATAACCGCTACCTTAAGTAGCGGTTTTAAGCTGAAAAAATATTTAAAAAAATTAACAAAGTTTCCCGATCCTACGTGGACAGCATTTTGGTAAATAAGTTTAGTACCGACGCAAAATGATAAATAAGTTTCAATTTAACCATATTTTGGTAAATCATCCTGCAAAATACCCCATTATTGCAAATACAAAAGTTCTTAATTTCCTTGAAATTTTCTTAATTAGAATACCCCATTATTGCTCACTCTCTGGCAACCGCTTTCTTTCAATCAATCTTCTGTATTTCAGCATTTCTCTTCTCTTTCCACTTTCCCTCAATTTCTGAGTTTTGTAAGGTAAATTCATCCCCAGTTTCTTACCAATTTACTCTCAAAGACTTCTTAATTTGTTGAATTTCAGATTCTATTTCAATAATCTTTCAATTGCATGATTCTGTTATATATTTTCCAATTATAGCTTTTTTATACTTAAATTTTGTGATCTTGTGTATTTTGACAGAAGAGCACAAACCCTGATTAATTTCACTATGAATGATGTCAAAGAACCCAAATTTGAAGCAAGCTCATTTGTGGGGTTAACAGATGTTTTAATCCATGAAATCCTGTTTCGATTGCCTTTGAAATCATTAGGAATACTCAAATGTGTCTGCAAGAAATTGAATACCCTAATCTCAGACCCCGAATTCACCATCCCTCTTCTCGAATTATTGAAATCTACCACTCCACCCTTAACCATTGCTATGCTACAATATAATACCATAGCCTCACTCAACTTTACAAGTTACACTGATATCAATGAGGGTGTAAGCTTAACCCCATGGGACCGACAATTCGGCAACAATGCCATTTTTGAGAGTTGTTACTATTTCATTATTGGATCGTGTTATGGTCTTTTATGTCTTTACATTAAGGAGGGGAAACGAGGAGAAGATATGATGTATATTTGGAACCCTTTTTTTAGAAAATCCAAAAGGATTGCTTTGCCTTTTGGAGGGAATTCAACTTATGTTCATGTAGATTCTTGCTGGTTTGGCTTTGTTCAATCCTTGAATGACTACAGGATTGTCTTGGTTTCTACGGTGTGTAAGCCATACTGTGGGAAGCGAATGCATTTGTACTCGTTAAGGTTTGATCATTGGAGAGTAATGTGTGTTAGTGATGAAGATGTGTCTTTTATTTCGGGATCTAACTCAGTTTTCATGAATGAGGCATTGCATTACCTTGTTCATCGTGAGTGCATACTTAAATTTGATTTAGATACCGAAACTGTTGAGAGGATACCCTTCTCAATTGTGCCTAAGCTATTTCCGAGAGTTGATCAGGTGTTACTTGGTGTCATTGGAGAATATGATTGTCTATGTGTTGTGTTTGTACATTATTCCATGAAGGACTTTGAGGAGGAAGACTCAAGGGGAAACTGTGAAAATGTGGAATGGATGCTTGAGTTATGGATGTTGGAGGAATATGACAATTGGAATTCTTGGAAAAAGTTATATAGAATCGACTTGAGGGAGGAGATTGCTACACGTTGCACCCAATTTTTAGGGCTCACATACAATGGCATTATTTGCATTCAAGCTGTGGCTGATGGACTTGTGGTTGTTAACCCAAGGTGCAATCCGCCTTCACATATTTTTGTTAGGGAGGCTGGTGCAGAGGTTTTTAAGTTGACCGATTATGTGGAAAGTCTTGTTTTACCTTTAAATCCCCTTCCTCTTGATAAGGATGTTGATAATGATGATGATAGTGATGATGTTGATTTTCTTTATTATGGTGATGAAGACGATGATGATGATGATTAATCTGCGGTGAGTACCCATATGCATAAATGCATTGTGGATATACTACTTTTGTGACCTCTTTAATTTCTCTTATGGGTTTACAAGATATAAACCGAGAGTCAGATTATGCTTAGTGAAAATGTTGCAAATTCAGTAGGATGTGGGATTGAGAGTGCAGAGATTTGTTGTCAGCAGCTTGCAACAAAATGCATATTACTCCGGCGTCATCTTCTTAAGGTGGAATCTGATAAATTGTAGCTGAACATGGCATTACAGGGGTGATGTAAATCCTCTCTCATGCTTGTAAGTTTTCATTTTATTACGACTAGTTTGTATATGCAATAGGACTCCCTTTAGATATTGGAGGAAAGAGTTTGGCTAGAAAACGGGCTTTGGGTATTGAATCTCTTGTACTTGGAGTCTTGGATAAGTTGGTGTTGAATGAATGAATGGTATGTGATTTGATTTTATGCTTTCTATCAATTTTCTTTGAGCTTATCTACTTGATCCAAGTTTTATTCAATTGCTGTCCAAACTGAATTAGAAACTTGGATGGAAAATATTGATCAATTTGTCAAATTCTGCTATCCAAATTCTTTCAATTTTTCTTTAAGCTTATCTACTTGAGCAAAGATCTAATGTATCCCAAGAGAAGTACATTTTTCCTTCTTTTAAGTTTCTTCGCTCGAAAAGATTCAGATTGTTAGGTGATTCCCATCAGAAAAACGCCAAGAGGTTCCAACCATGGTGGTTATCTCCCAACAACCAATGTAAATCAGGCATAACAGCACTAAACGAGGCTACGATCTAGAGGCAATAATATCGAGTCAAGTTTTCTCCACTCAATCTACTCTGATTGATGCATAACGGTGATTCAGGTAATGCTTATTATGTAGCCAAACAGCTCTACACATCATGATATTTACGTATAATATGCATTGATCATTAACATTATACAGCTGCATAAATTCTGTACAACACCAAAATATATTGTTACTTACAATCTTACACTGCTTGCTCTTGAATGCTTTATGCTTAAAACGGAACAGGCCTTCTTCTGATTTTCCCAATATTCGAAATCATGGAAGGCCTCCCAAACGTCTCTTCCAACCATCTAACTTGCATTTCTAACCCAACATCTCTCAAAGCATTTGAAGCGGATTTATAGAGTCTAGTATCTAACTGAATTCCCTCAGCTTTCAAATCTTGCAATAGCTTAATCAATTCATCAATCCTATTGATCTTTGAGAAGACACCCACCATCATCCCGGCCAAAGCTAGATCAACCCCTCCACCATTTGTTCGATATTCATCATAGAACACGGTGCAAGTTTCATATTCTTGCGCCCTAGAGTAAGCTCCTATAATGCTAGTGTAGCTCACTCGATCAGGTTTCACCTTTCTCCTCTTCATCTCCTTCCATAACTTCTCTACTTGCCTCATATCTTTCGCTCTCCCATGTAAGTCAATAAGCGTATTGTACACCCACACATTAGGCTCACACCCTCTCTCCTTCATCTTGGCTAGAAGTGTCATCGCCTCTCTCAATTGCCCCGTCTTACCATACATTGCAATCATAGTCGAGTAAGCCACCACACATTTGTCGAAACCCCTTTGTTGCATCTCATTAAACACTATCTTAGCCTTGTAAAACAACGCAAGACGAAAGTAAACATTGATTATAGATGCATATGTCACTTGCCCCGGTTCACACCCTTCTAAAGTAAGCTCTTGGTACACTCTTGCTGCCTCTTTGAGCCCTCTTTTCTTGGCATAACCATTAACAATTGCACAAAAAATACAATCAGAAATCTTCAAATTAGCCGCCTTCATCTTCTTCACAACCCCTAAGGTCTTCTCCAACAAACCTTCTTCAACATACATGACCACCAGCTTTAAAAACATTGCTGGATCCTTCAACATTCGATTCGATTCTGCTTCCTCAACGAGTCTCTCAACCACACCAATCTCTTTATCTTCGGCCAGTGAACCGATCAACGAAGCATAAATTGAGGCATTTACAGGAATTCCCTTCTCATCCATCAGCTCAAATTGCTCAAGAGCTTTCAAAGGTTCCCCTGATTTCCCCAATGAATCTATCAAAACCCCATAAATCTTAGACAAATTATCAACATTTTCAACCTTGTTAATTTCTCCCAATTCACTAAAAACTTCAACAACTTTCTTGAAATTCCCCAATTTCATATAAGCTTCCATAACCAAAACATACCCTCCAGGATCCAAAACAATCTCCTTTAATCTCATCTTTTCAAACAATTCAATTGTAATTCCATACAAATGAAGCTTATTATAGCTTCTCAAAGCAGAATCATAAGCAAAAGAAGCAACTTTTTGATCAAATTCAAAGCATTCTGACAACAAATCAGCAACTTTAAACTTCCTAGCTTTAATACAAGAACTAACCAATCTAGCACAAAAAAATTTATCAGGCAAAATTTTCCACTTTTTTATATCTTTACACATCATTGAAACCAAATCCCATTTCTTTGAATTCACTAAGTACCTTAACACAGCCTTGATGGTTGCTTTTTGGGGATGAAATTCCGAACCCGCTTTCGCCTTTTCATAATACTCCAACCCCAGATTTTCAGTCCTTGGATCCTTCAACAGCTCTCTAATTAGTTGATTTATGTTCTTTTCATCTGATTTTATAGGTTGGAAATCTGAATTTGGATTATTATAGGAGAAATCAACAAGAGGTAAAACAGGGGAAGGTTCTTCTTCTAAAACAGGGGAAGGAAAAGCAGAGGAATGGAGGATTATGAGCTTTGGAGGAGAGAGAAAATGGTGAAAAGCTTTGAAAATGGTGAATTTAGTGGAATTTTGAAGTGGGTAGAACAAATTTGAGGGAGAAATTGCCATTGATGAGGATTATTTGAGAATTTTGTGAGTTTTTATTTTTTTTAGTTTATTTGTTTTTTTTTTGGTGGATTATCTTTTATATGAAAGAATTTGATTAGCCACTCGTTGGAGGACACGTGGATGGTTTGAGGTCGTGGAACATTTGTCCTAGATTTTTAGGATAGGTGGGAAGAAAGTACTTTTTACCTTTTTTTTTTTTTTAATTTAAGGAAAAAGGAAAAATATTGGCGTTACAAAAATAATAAAACTGTCGACTCCACTGGGGATCGAACCCAGAATCTCTGGTTTCGTAGACCAGCGCCTTATCCATTGGGCCATGGAGTCTTATTTAATGGTAGAATTGAGTTTATACAAAATAAATACAAGAATATAGTCCGTTTGTAAACAATTAACCATTGCCCCTTTGACATTGGCTATGGCTTTTTTTTTTTTTTTTTGAGCAAATTCAAGTTTATCAAAATCAGACACAAAATATATTTCTCAAGTGGCATTTTTTGTAATTAACTTGCTTTGGGTACCCTGACAGATATTAAAATATACTCCAAACACAGCTATCCACTAACCTTGGGTTAAACAACCCAACCAGTCTATTATTGCAACATTGAACAACGTTAACGGCATAAAACCTAAGTGTTAATGCTTTTGGTCAAACTTCGTAGTGGGGAGACATATGAAGTCGAGATACGAGCAGATTCGACATCTGATGTTGAAGCGTCGATTTGGTTTATGAGCTTTTGAATAACAAGGAAAATTCAGAAATTTAGTAATGGAGAGATTTTCAGAAACTTAGTATGGAGGAAATCAAGTTTCAAGCTTAGCTTCAATGGAGGACATGTTTTCGTTTATATTGGCGCCGGATGGGGTCATCTTCAATGTCACCGTCTTCAATGGTGTTTGCCCTTTGATGTGAGCTTCAATGGAGGAGGAAAGAGAAAGGAGGAAGGGGGAAGAAGAAGGATGATTGTTGACGCAAGTTAACTAGTGTTTCATGAAGGCAACTCAAGTACATATTTATCCTTCATTAATTAGTTGAGATTACTTAATTATTTTTTTTATGGTACATGTTTCGGGGTTTTCTGATGTCCTGCGGGAGAGTTACAATTCCGAGACTGGAACTGGACGCCTGTACCTGCAAAATAACGGAGACTCCTGAGAGCTCCGCCTCCAACGGTCAAGTTAGTACCTGATTAAGGAGTAATTAATACGGAAATTAAAGTAATAAGACCTCTCTAGGTGAGAGTGTTTAATGTTGGTAATCTGCTTTGTTAGCGAGATTAGCCGGTTATTAGTGTTCCGTAATGTTTTTGTTCTTCTCTGTTCTTCAGGTGAGATTAATTGCTTGATCAATTGCCTCTCAATTGCTTGATCAATTGCCTCTCAATTGCTTGATCCCTTTTAATGAGGATTAATTAAGTATTTATAGTCTTGAGAAGCGTGCCACTCTCTAGGTTTAGGGTAAACCTAGGGCTGACCGGGCCTCTAGACAGGATTGGGCCTTGTTGGCCGGTTTTCCCATTTGGCATGGGTGGACACGTGGCGTGCCTCGATTGGTCCGTAGAGGACGTATCTGTGATTGACACGTGGCAGGCTCCTATTGGCCTTCGTGAAGGACACGTGGCGGAACCTGGTTGGTCCACTTGTCAGACGGTGATTGGTGGATAAAAATCCCCTAATCATTTGCCCCTCACAGGTGGCACGTGACTGGTCACGTGTCGCCTGTGACAGGTGTCGCACGGTGACAGGCGACGGCCTGCTACAGGTGTCACCTTGCAAACGGCCGAGAGATTTTCCCGCCCAAATTTTGAATTTGGAAGCGACCCTTCGCCTTCTCACTTTGCCTATATAAGGAAGTGCTGACTTCGGTCATTTTCACATTTGAGAACTTTGCGAGAACATTCGGACCTTTTCTGCCTACCGCCTGTTCTGACAAGCCGACTGCACCGGATTTCCAGAACTTCATCAACCGTCACTCGTTCAGGTAACTCAGTTCTCTTACTCTTAATTTTCTTTTTATTTTTTGAAATGGCACCACGGAAGCACACGACACGACCTAAGTTAGTGATCAGCCGGTCACCGGGGACGGCTGAATCTAGGACTAGGAGTGCCGCCTGCCCTTTTCTGGACCCATCTTTGCCCTT